CATTCTCTGTTTTATTTCAAGATTTTGTGTTTCATTGCATCTCAGTATTAAAACTTCTTAACAAAAGGCATGGTATGCTAGTTGTACAATAAAAAATGACAATAATACACCTGTGCTTTAATCATCCTGTTTCTGTTTTTGTTGTCTCAGACAAATCTTAATCAGTTTTTGGTAAAAGTTTTACTCTTGTTTTCTTTTAACAGCTGTCTATATTTCTGAGATGTGGTATTGTAACTATTTATGCTATTTACATTGTTCAGACTGTTGTTCTCATCCTTATTGACATATAATGTTTCGGCTTTCTTCAGGTGATATAAGTTGGAATTTCAAACTGAACCTTTTATTTAGCCCATGCATGCAGAATGTTCTAATTTCATGTGCCATTTTTTTTTTTTTTTTTTTTTTTTTTTGATATCTCAGTTTCTGTTTAGTAACTCAACTCTCCAAGTTTTTATTCTCTCTGCTGTGGCCAGGTATTGAACACTTTGGGTCAAGTCATTTTTTGAATCACTTAACCAACAATTTTATCTGCATCAGTGAGTGAGCTTTTGGGACTTATAAAGCTAATGTGTCATTTTCTTACCAGAGTTCATATTACAGTTTTTTGTTATTAGTGTTTTTCTATAGCTCCCAGTATTACTGGTTCCCATATTGTATTCATGTCTATGCCTTTATTGGCTTAGGAGATATTTGTAGCTTAACATATGGGCTGATTCCTTAAGTTTTCATATTTTCCAGTGAAATTCTGTCTATTATTTCAATTTCAAATGAAATTACCACAGTGGGTGGTAATCTCCCTTTTCTCACTATATATGGTCAGCCATGCCTAATCTTTCTATTTCTCCTTGTATTATGGCCTTATGGTGTTTCTACATCTTAATGGGGGTAGCCTCTTTGTCCTTTATATTTCTTGCCACAGCTGCATACACACAGTCCTTAACCTTCATCTAACTAGAGATGTAGAATTGCTGTCTCCCTTTTCACCTGTAGGCACGTTCTATCACCTTGAGACGGTTGCTATAAATAAACACTTGTCAACTGTTATTTCCGGTATTTTAAGCTGAAAATAGCCTACTGCTGCTTTGGAAGAAGGTTAAACTTCCATTTTCCAATGCCATTTTAAATTCTTCTACACTTTACATGAGGTGTAACATCGATTAAACCCACATTAATTTAGATGTGATTTTTTGTAAACAAAAATGGCTGCATCAACATATGGCAAAGGTTTACTCAGGAATTTTTCTTTTGATTTGGATTCTGATGGTTATTTTGAAGGCTTTACTCAGGTGGATTTCAACAGTGAAGTGGTTGGAGATTGAGATGACAACTATGCTAGTGATGAGGAGGAAAGCTATGATGACCATGAGGAGCTGAGCACTACTATCATCTATGACTGATTAAATTTATGGAAGCTACTGGGCCCCATGGATGTACCTGATAGCCTTTCTGAAGGTGAATTATTTCATCTATTTATAAATGACAAAATAATAACTTTATTTGTCAATGAGACAAATAAATATACTAGTTAAAGGCGAGGGAAAGCAGAGGAACAAATGGTGGTGTCTACACAAGGTAGGATGTCACTTTTGACAAAATGAAGGCCTTAGTCATTTTGCTATTTATTGCACACCAGAACTCCATAAGGAGTAATAAAAGTTAAAGTATATTAAATTCTTAATGTATTTTTTATTTTGTGTTTCAATTTGTTTTGTTTTCAATGTTTAAAACCTGCATGCAAAACATAATGCATTACATCAAAATATTACTCATCCATTCTTTTATTAGTGTACAAGAAATAAAATCTATACACAAAATACAAAGAGAGTTATAAAAAATTTAAAACAGTAGGTGCTCATGATTTTTTGCATCCTCAAAAAAAAAAAAAAATGCAGTGGCAAGGGGAACAATTTTAGAAACAGTTTGAAGTAAAGGTTAATCATGTTCTCTATGGGTGGTCTTACATGGAAGGGATGTCTGCATAGTGTTGAACCACTCTTGAAGGTTGTCCTGATGCTATATGGACCACAGAACTTTTGTATCTTTTTTGATAAACCCTTCACATAGAGTAGACAGACCAATGTTGTTTTCTGAGTGCTGTTATCTTGTACACTTCTGTCCAAGTTTGTGGGGGCTGATGTCATATACTCAGGGTAGCATGTTGTAGGGTAAAGTTTATACTGACCATTTCTTGTTTATGTCTCTTGCTTGCAATTTATGCCTTTTTGTTTGATGTTGTAGGCAACTGATGACCCCATTCTTTACACTTTATGCATGATGTGAGTTGAAGTTGAGTTGGTGAATGTTGTTTTACAGTATACAGAACTGATGCCCTCTTTGAGATATTAGTACAGCCAGGAATGTTTGTTTGTTGTTGTTTTCTCTCTTCATTATGAACTGCAGCAATAATCTTATTTTTATATAGTCAAGTAGTAATTGGACATCTTCCTGGTGGAACCAGAGTATGAAGTATGTATCTCAGCCATAGAGTTGGCTTTAGTGATACGGATTCTAATGCCATTTCCTCAAAGTATTCAATGTATATGTTAGCCGTTGCTGGTGATAATGGCAAACCCTTCTTCAAGCCTTCATCTTGTTGATATGCTTGATCACATTCCGAAGTATGTTGTTTGTGTACAGAAAGTCAGCTTCTCTATTAGATTATCTATTGGTATACTGGTACATTCTCCTAGAGATGAGTCCAAGGCCGGTCTGTCCCTGACTACTGATAGAGCCTTCTCCGTGGGTACTTTGATGAACAAACTCACTATATCCAGGCTCACTATTTGGTTGGGTCAAATGGGATTTTTTTTTTTTTATTATTTTTAAAAAGTGGCTGGATTTTTGGTTATATGATGATTGTTTTCCTATGAATAAATCAACTACATTCACAAGGAAGAGATTCAGAGGGTGGCACACACAGACTTGATGGCTAACAATTTGCCTAAGCAGAATACCATCATTGTGAATTTTGGAGAGACCATATATGTGAGGTAGCTTGCTATGACATAACAACTGCCTGTATGTCTTAGATGGGAAGTGGTCCTTGTTTTTGATTAGAATCTCTAATGGTTTTCTTCTTTCTGTTTTCATTGTTGAGTCTTTCTTTACTATAGCTACCGTTTCTAATGAGGTCTTTCAGGTTTTTTTTGTGTATTCTTTTTTGTCTATCATTACAGTTGCATTGCCTTTGTCAGTTGGTAGTATGATTATGTCATTCCTCTGTAGGATTTTGTATGCCAGCCTCTCCAATTTTGTGATATTTGATTTGGGCAGCTTGGCCTTCTCACTTTCCATCTTAGCTCCTCTGCCTGAGCATGGGAAATATTTAAGGCTATTTCCTTGATTGAGGCTATGATGTCTAAAGGATGGTTTTAACAGATAGTTATGTTCTTAATATTCAATGATTTTCTAAACTATTTCATCTTTGTTGGTTTGCCCATTAGCCTTGTCTTTTGTCAGTTTATACCCAACACCAGAATGGCAACACAAAATAAAAGCATTCAAATCAAAATAGTAAAAATTTATAGAATATATAAGACCAACTTAAATTATTAGGTAAAAACAGTTATCCTGTTGTCTGGGTTGAAATCTTTTTTTATCCACCAATTCTCTTACCTACTTTATATGCACCTATGTATTGCATTATCATATATATATGTAAATAACCAAATTTATTAATCATATTGTTAGTTACTGCCTAATAGATATTTTCTCACTTTTGTAAAGCTCCCAGATTTGATTCTTATTACTGAAATTTAATATTATGCAGACATTTGGGTAAAATTTTGGAACAATTTTTATTTTAAAGTTTTCTTCTGAGTATCCAGTCTTTAATTAAAAAAAAAAAAAAGAGAATATTGAGAACTTTTGTACATACTTGGTCTACAATTTGCTTGCTACCATTGTATATTCCCATGAGGCTATTTCTAACAGATTTTTAGATGATAGTAACTTTTATTTATTTTATATGTAACTGTTAAAAATCCAATGATCAACCTACAAATATAATTTGATGGATTATCTAGGATTCCATTTTTCTAAGATATTTCTATTGATTTTAATGAAAAGCAGAAATGATCTAAGAAAATGCACATCTTGTCTAACAGTAATGGAAAAATATTTTCTTCCTTTCATTTTTTATTTTAATGTTGCCTTTGCCGTCCCTCCCCCTCCTCCATTTTCTGATGGCCAACCTTCATGAATGTTCAAAATGGCTGCCTACAACTATCAGCAGTAAGGATTGAATTTTCTAAGGAGAAATAGGGAGGAGTATCAGACTGAACTAATGAGGTCAAAGCTTATGACAGCTGGTTTACTCAGTGAATAGTAAGATAAGAGATGCTACTTATTTTACTGCATTTGCTAAAGATTTTTTTCTTTTGCTCTCACCTTTTTTCTTTCAGCAGAAAAAATACCATCTAAAGTCACTTTTATTCAATTTCATTTATTCACTGAGTAAGAAATATTGTCATTTTTCAGTTTTAAATTCTGCAAAGGATTTTTACTGTTTCATTGATTTTAGTCAGTGTGTCTACAACATAAATAAATCTAACCTGGTTCTTGTAAAATAATTTTTTTTTCTAACCTTCAGCAATTTAATTCAGGTGATCAATTAAAGGATTGCAAGGTTTCAACCAGGACAAGTGTTTATATTTTTAGAGGGAAAACTTTTACATCTTACAATTAGTTTTCTTTTTCTTTTGTTTTTTTTGTTTTTTTTTCTTTTCTTTTTTAAATAAATACCTCCTCATTATTTGTTTTACTCTTGCAGTTAGTGTTTGAAGGAAGTTTTTTTTTTTTTTTTTATCCTGTGGATAATATTTGATTTTAATTGCTGAAAAGCAATAAAACCTTTTTCTGACTATTTTTGTCAAGTTATCAGACAATGACTAAAACATAAAACTTTGTCATAAATGGAAAGCAATGCTGTCTTACAATTAGAACATGTCTTTGCTTTGAATAATTTTTTTTTAACTGATATTTTCTTTTTATTGATTTAGGTGATGTTTCACTTGTGAGGAACAATTAACCCTTAACATGATTTGAATGTGATGATGGTGGCACCAGCCACTTTGTGGTTTCAGAAAAGTGAAAAAGTATCTCACATATCAAGTAAGTGTGTCTTATTTTAAACATTCTACTGTATTCATTGTGTGAATATGAAGTCAAGAAAAATGTATTTGTCCTGCCATTTTGCATAGGGATCACCAGTAAGGAATTTTATTCATTCATAATTCACTTGCTGATTATGCAAATATGGGTCAGTTTTGGTAAGGATAATCAACATAGATCTCATGGTCTTAAAAAAAATCTCTTTTTAGTAAACTATTTAAAATCCAACATCATCAAACCCTGTTTGAGGAAAGTGAAGGAAAAACAATATGAATGGTTTATTTTCTTGTCAATGAAAATATTTGGTCAGTTTAGGAAAAGTTTATTCATTAAAATACATAAAATGCAGTGTTTTTAAGAAAGTCCTTTTAAAAACATTAAACTTAGCTTAGTTGCAACAATATTTTCTAAGAAGGATCAAACTCACTTGTAATATCTTGTGGAACTATCTTGATAAGTGTTCAAATCCCTTGTGAAAGTTTATTAGTTATTTATAAAACCTTTTCTTGGTGCACATTTTTTAATTTTACTTTATTTTTTTAGTTTATTGGAATCAATTCTAAAATCAAGGTTTTTTTTTTTTGAAATTATTTGATAAACCCTGAAAAATATTTTGTTGCTAGATAACCATTAAATATAAATTTATTTCAGTTAGAAAATAAGTTTTCAAAAGCATTCTAGTTCTCATTTTATAAACTAAGATTTGAAGGTGTAATGTGTTTTTCTTCTCCATCTCCAGGTTTAATTAATTTAAAAAAAAAAAAAGATTTTATATACATGGCTTACAAGATAGCATTTTTTGTTTTATCATTGCAAATATATGCAGATTGATTCAGGGAGAAAACACTAACAAAAAATAATGACTCCATCCCCCCCCTTTTTTTTCTCAAGAAACTAAAGAAAGTCTTTAAATGTTGAATAATGTTTCTTTCCATAACTTCATGATGGAACCCATTTTCTTAGCCTTCTGAATGTTACCTAAGGCTTGTAAACAATATACTACAGTTAGCTGACTATAAAAGCAATCAAGCTGAGTAAATGTTAAGACATTCCTAAGATTTGATTAACATTATACAATAGATAATACTGGTAACTTTTGTATTAGCACAAAAGGTTATTCTAATGTTGCAAATGGAATGAAAAAGAATCAGTTAAGAATTGACAAAAGCAGTTTTGTTTTTGAGGCTCTTTGAAAAACATTTTATATTAAAAAGTAGCTACTTTTTTTAACACAGAAAATGACTATAATTTTTCTGAAAAATTCAATATTGACATGACTGATATATTTTTTCATTGTGAATAACAGATTGAATTAAGATTACTATAAAATAAGGTTTAATTTCAGATGTTAACCAAGAAAGCAACAGTAGGTAAATTCTTAATCAATTTTTCAAATATATGAAATGATCTTGTCTTTTTGAAATATATTTTTCTGTTAAATACAGGATATTAAGATACCATTACAGAATGATTTGTACATTTATTAGGAAATGTTGTTTTCTTAAATTTTCTTGTAAAATAGAATTGTAGAAAGTACTCTAATAATTATTTCAATTTTATATCATAAAATAGACATGTAAAAAAAAAAAAAAAAATTTTTTCTTTAAGGTTTTGTGTAAACAGACATATGAATAGCATTAACTTTTGACTGTAATTTTATTTTCCATTTAAAAATTCAACTTCTAATAAGTTTCTTGTTTTGCTATTTCAGTAAGCACATTCATCTTATTGGCTATTTTGATTAATTTTTATATAGAGGAAATTCAAGGATGACTTTACCACCCAGTTTCGTGGAGGCGGGCTTAAAGACAGATATTTTTCCTAAAAACACATGTGACATTATCAGATAATACTTAAAATAGAATATTAATCTAAGTAATTTTCGAATGTTCCTTGGATTAAAGTGTAGAATAAAATTTAATTATCAATACTTATAATTAAAACAGGTATTCCATTATACTATATCAATTCCCAGTGTCCATAATCATAAATATTTTAGAGCTACATATTTTGTATAAAGAGAATGAACAAAGAAGGAAACTTAGGTGGAAGATACAATTATTGGATATCAATTGTGTAAATAAGAGACAAATTCTGTTTATGTAGACCTTCAGAATTTCTTTAATCTTTTGATCTTCTGATTGTGTTGCTGGAACCAGTAGTAAAGAACTTTACTGCATTTTAACATTTCAATATTTGTTTGAATAACTTGCTTTTTATAAATGCAGACAAACTATTTTGTACAGAAATTATTCAATAAGTTAATATATAGATTCATCTCTTTCACAATCTTTTCACCTCCCAGCTCCTTAAGGAACTTGGAGCAGTCTACCCTTGCCATAAAAAAGATGCTTCTACCAGGCAATAACTCTAGTATAGCAAAAAGTAACAGATATTACCAACAAAAATATACAAATACACTTGGTGTATTATATATAAGATGTATTTCTTAACTGTTTCCATTGTATGTACATCTCTGTGCACATTTCTATCTTATTAGGTTGCCTCTTGTTACCTTTTATTTTGTTTTGCTTACTTATTAAGTGTCTTGATTCTCTATAAATACTTAATAATAATAAATAATACTATAAATTAGTGTCACACAACAAAAAGTATTTGTTTGAATTCTTGTTACATTGTAACTATGGTGAGGTTCATTACAAGGCTTTGTACAAAATTGCCGTCTTTTGTACTTGCCCCATGATAAATATAATTTCTTAAGATCTTGCTAGAAACCCTTTAAGTAGGAAATAATCCAAATACCAGTCACATTGAAAGATAATTACTCTGAATTAATTTCTGGTTTGTGTATATTCTTTATATGTAATGTAGCAAAATTCATTAAATATAATCATATAAAGATCAGCTAGGACAATTTCTCAAATGTTTGGTATGTTTGTTCAAAGTGCAGTGTTTATCTCAAAGTTCGTAATTTTTTCAAAGGTCTAGTACAATTCATTAAGAATTTGTCAATAGTAAAAACGTAAAACGTTTCTGTCTATGGAATATTTTTTGGTGGGGTGGGATTTAGACAATATTCCAAAAATAATAAAAGAAATAATTCATACACACTGAGTGTTGGTAATAAGAACTTGATTACTTCCTAAAAAATAATGACTAATCTGTTTTGCATGTGCCATTGTTTGCACAGTCAAATTTGACTGAGGAAACAATGACACTTGAGAAATAGATTAGCCATTATTTTTAGGAAAGAGGCTTGTATAAACCAAATGAAATATTCTTGAATATTCATTTTTAAATTTTAATTTATATCTTATAGACTAGTGAGATTTGAATGAGATTTAAAGCTAATTTCACTTTCTGAGGTTTGAAATATTCTGTTAATGGGTATAATTTTATGTGTATTCATTAGCCTCTTAAAGACTTGAAAGTTCTCATTGTTGTGTTTTTACAATTTCAATTGAGTTACCTCCCTTGATTTTCTTGTTGCTTTGATGTTGAGCCAAAAGCTAGTAACTTGAACTGTTGAATGCAAACTATTGTTTTTTCATAGCTACATCCATTGCTCTGTTAACTCTGACTTTGGAGTTGGTGATAGTAATGTCAATGCGTTACACTGTAAACACCCTGACGTTAATACTTCTTTCCCCTCTAGTTCATTTTTTTTTTATTGCTGACTATTGGACATCTAGACTATAAGTGGTGCTGAAGAAGTGTGCTCTTTCTGATAACTTTTTAATATATCTTTATTTTCAATACAGTTAAAAGAAAATGCTGAAATCCATTATAAACCAGCTTGAAATAACATCCTGGTGTCAATAAAACATTAGTTTGGTAAGACTGGTTAGGTTTGGAGGATAATATTGGGATGTTATAAAATTTTTAATTAAATTTCCATTATATTTATTCAGAATGCAACTAATTTCATAAATTTACTTTTTACCAATAGTGGAGGTCTTTTTGAAAGAACATTGCATACATGTACACACAAAGAAAGTTATAAAAAATTACAATAAAATTTAACTAATTTATTTTTGTACTTTTAAAACTAATATTTTATCTATTTTAATTTATTTTAGCATTTTAACAGTATTTTTATTATACTAATAACAATTCTATTAAGTTTTAAAAAAATATCATTTTGATTTTGGGATGGTGTCATTTGGAGTGGGGGTGTAGAAGGTTAGTTTCATTGTAAAGAAAAAGAATTAAGCTTCCAGCCATTAGATTTGCAATAAATTTTGCTTTATTAAGCATTTTATTTCACTTTTACTTTTTGGTTTAAAATTGCAGTCCTGCAAACTACTGCTTAGAAAACTGCTCTGGATGCAGATCATATCAAATTAAATTAAATGAGGAATTTACACTGACTTTCTCATTTTATTTAGAATATAAATTATGGTCATGAAAATTTCTTTGCACTCTAGCATATAAATACAAACATATTTTTATTCAGAAAGAAATGAGTAGTACAATTATTTTTTTGAAATCTGTAAAATTTTGATTTTTGTTCCTATTCTAATGAATTAGCCAGCACCAAGATTATCTGATATTTTTATTTGAGTTTCTTTTATCCAATAATATTAAAACTGAGCCATTATTAAAACTTGGTAATGTTAAAATGAAGTTTTTTATGAATTGCACAAATGTTTTTCATTTTTCTCTGTGAAATTTAAAGTTTCCTGTTAAACTTTGGCATTCATTATTTTATTCTTACTTAATCTCTATTACTTCATTAGCAAATTATTAACTTATGTATAATGCCAAATTTACTTATTTTTTCTCTAATCAATTTGATTAAAATGGGGATATAGTTAAATTGTAATTGTTGAAAAAATTGCTTAAGAATAAATAGTAAAATTAACTGTGAGGATTTACTGTCTCACTCTTAAGTAAATGCTCACAGCCGATGTCTGTGAGACTCAACTAAATATTAATTCTTAATGATTAATACCTTCAGAATCCTACACAATCATTTTGGATAAAATAATTGTCTTTAAGGTAACTCCAAAAATGTTCTTAAAAACAAAAAAAGCATA